GTATACATGTAAAAATTAAAAAGTTATTCAAAGTAATATGCATTGGATAATTAATTTCTACTTTACTAGTTCACACTTCTGTAATTTCTATCGTTTCTCATATGACATGTAAAATGATAATTATAACTTATAAAGTATGCATAAATTGCAAAGTATGCAACAATTGTATTCTGTCAACCATCGTCAAGCTAATAATCCTGAATAATTGCAATAGGGAAAAGAGTTGTAAACAAATCGTTGGTGGAATGAAAATCATTAAAATAGTGGCCAGAACGAGGGAACACTAGACGGTTCGATTCAGGCGGCGCAAATGAGTGGAGCGATATTAAAATCTACGCGGGCAACAGATGGGCTCGGATAGCTTTATGGTGTTCGAGCCAATAACGAAAATCATTAAATTAACTTTAACCGCCGGTGCGCGGCGCACTGTTAACAGCGTACTAATTTTATTATTTAGCGTTTCGCATAAAAATCCCAGAATTTCCTCCGTTACTTTTCTCGTCGGTGCAATTCACAGTCCACGCGACGCGTTCGTCCGTTTCTGTACCTCTCGTTTCACTTTTAATTTTCCAACCGCGCCGCGACGTATGAGTTATTACGCGTCACTTTACAAACGGTATTCTTCCCCTCGCGCGATCGCACAGATAGAGGAAGATTAAATATCGGAAAGAAGGGTAGTGTATTTACCTCGTTTAGTCGATAATCCGAGATGACAAACGCTATTTTCTTCTCAAAACTGTGATTGATGCGAAGAGAATTCCGTTGACGCGCTGTACAGCGTTCGACGCCAGGAGCAGTGCTGCCAACCCAGCTCAGTAACGAATCTAAGTTTCTCGGGACCCTGAGGCGTGTTGTTTCGAGCGGCCATTACCTTTTTTGAAATGTTTCATGAAAAACAAATATTACTCATTGAAATAATATAGTCATCCTGCTGTGGTTGTTTGAAAAATATAGACACTCAAAATTAGAACACCAAACGTAGAGGTTAAAAATATTGTAAACGCAAACGACTATCCTACGACTGTCAATTGTGGAAAGTCATAAATACGTATCGAATAAAAAGATTTTACTTACACACGGTCTTGTGTGCAGAAAATTTCCAACGAAAGGGCCTGTGTGAAAATTAAACTAATTATCAAATCGTGAAGCAAAATACTATAAATCTATAAATCTAGAAAGCTATAAATCTTCTCACTGCTACATTTAATATCCTTGTAGATAGTTACTGTCGTTATTTACATTAAAAAATCAACATTATTGAAGAGAAAACTTGTCTATTATACTACCTCGCGAAACCACGAACTGTGCTATGAAAGATGGCGACACCAACACGAGGTTCTATGGCGCGAACCTTAGCACCACAAGTCATAGTTGTTCCGTCGGTAATCGATACGTTTAAATTTCTAATTTTTAATTTAACAAAAATTCCTTCACAAATTGCATAACAAGGATAAATAATGAGAAGAATAATAAACTGCAGTGAGACATCTTTCATATTCAGTAGATATATCATTGCGCAGAAATGACATTTTTGTTACCAATTGTTCGTAGTACACATTCCTGTAAAGCTTCTTTACCTTGGTGATCGATAAAATAGTTTGATAGTAAAACTTGTTTAGGTCGAAAAGATGGCAACACTAGTTTGTCATCGTGAAGCTGGCACGATCTGGTCTCTAGTCAGACTTAGTCAGTCTTATTCTTATCAAGTGGGTATACTCTTCGTTGTCAGCGACCAGTATCAGTCAATTCATTTCATACAAACGTAAGAGACAAATAATGTTTCCTATAGATTTATATTTAAATTTAGTTAAATCGATTAGAGAACTAAATTATACAAACATATATACGTAATTATTGACGAGAGTTATTTCATTGATTCTCCATCGAATATGTTCAATTCTTGTTGATATAATTCATTTTTAATTGCAATTCATTTGTGATATCTTGAAAAGATGATAACGTTATCTTAACTTGTTTGTCACTACTTCCCATCTTCAATAAAAATTCGTGCAGTTATTTATTTTATTTACAGTGACATAATTCGGTTATTTAAAATGCAATAGTCCTTGAACACTAAAAATACGAGATGAATATAATTCTATTTAGCATATGCATGAATTTATTTCCCTGGATTATATATATGTACTTCATTTAGTGAAAGTATTTTTATATTTCAACAGTTGTGAGAAGATAAATGTATATATGAATAAAGTTTTTGTATTTCTGACTGATGGTAATTTAACTTCTGCAGAACTCGATAGTGTACGTTCGAAGATTGTTTTAATTTATTAGACTCAAATTAGACAATAAATACTAAGTATTTATAAATATATTAGCTACTTGAGTTTTATTAATTACACTTAGAAAAATGTTACCACCAACGTACGTGGAAGGGTTTCACGATTTAGAAGCCGTGAAAGCTATGGAGTATAGACCTCTCGGTAACACTGGACTGCTCGTCAGTAAACTTTCCTTCGGGGGCGGACCATTGGGTTGCCACTATGGGTCAGTAATAATAAATAATAAGCTTTACTTTTGCTTTTGAAGTCGTAAACAATCGATCTTCGATCTTTTTTGGAATCCATTTCAGCGAATTTTCAAATCCACGCGTACTTACAAACAGACCAAAAAAGACTATTTTATTATTTTTTTAATATTCATTTAATATTTGAAAACGGGAGTTTGAATTTTTTAAATTAATATAATTGAAATTTCCTTTCGTGGAACGTTGAAGTAATGAAATTGAATGGTTGACATTGTGGTCTGTCGATAGCGCATACGACGAGGATGAAGCTATTGAAGCGATACGTCAAGGAATAAAACGGGGTATTAATTACATTGATACTGGACCATGGTACGGCCAAGGTCGTTCTGAAAGCGTGATTGGAAAAGTAATTGAAGATCCTTCTGTAGCATGTTAAACCAACTGTATTAATCGTTGTAATTAAATGTTGCTAATATTGTAACGTTTGTATTAATTCAAGGCTCTGAAAGGCATTCCACGCAAAGCATATTATATTGCAACGAAAGTTGGAAGGTATGAATTAAATTACGAAAACATGTTTGACTTTTCGAAAGAGAAAACTCGAAAAAGTTTTAAAGACAGTTTAGAACATTTAGGTTTGGATTATGTCGATGTTATACAAGTGAGTATGGTTATTTTTTCTTTCTTTAATGAAATGTCCTGAATTCATAAATTCTTTTTTTTTATATATTACAGGTTCACGACATCGAATTCGCTCCAAGTTTAGATATTATAATTACACAAACTTTACCAGAACTGTCGAGCAAAGTCGCGGATGGTAAAGCCAAATATATCGGTATCACCGGATATCCGGTATCCATTTTGAAGAAATGTGTCGAACAGAGTAATATTACTATATCTTGCATATTGAGCTATGCAAGGTACACATTAATAGACGATAATCTGATGGAATACATTCCATTCTTCAAGGTACGATTTTGCCATCGGTATCGTTAACAATTTACTAACTGACCATGTGTATACAAATAATCTTAGTGCAAACCTTACACGTTAACAAATTGAACAAATTTTCTAGGCGAAAAATATTGGTATAATTAATGCTGCAGCACCTTGTATGGGACTTTTAACTAATAATGGCCCACCAGCTTGGCATCCTAGTTCAGAACAAACAAAGAAAATATGTGCAGATGCAGCAAAGTGTTGTAAGGTATAGTATATACGTTTAAATTAATAAGAGCAATATATCACATAATTATTACATAAAAATATTTTATCTGTATTCGAATAAAACATATTTATAGGATCATGATACAGAATTAGCTAAACTAGCATTGTGGCATTCTCTTCAATGTATAGATATAGCTACATATTTAGTTGGAATTCAGAATTTAAAAGAATTAAATATGAATCTTGATGTTCTTAAGAATGGTATTACAGAAAAAGAAAAAGCTCTGCTGCAAGAAATTCAAGAGAAGTGAGTATAACATTAATTTATGAAATTTTATTGATGATACATAAAAAAGTACATTTTAAAAAATGTTTTTTTAACAATACAAAGATTTCTTTAGTATATACATCCTTAGAAAAATAAATATGTAATTCATTAAAACTTATTTACTAGATTACAGTTTCAATGTAATACATAAAATTTTACCTGCGATAACAAATTGATATATAATTGAGTAATGTATTAACAGTGTTGACAGCATTAATTTTTTATAAAGGGCAATATCAACAAAGAAATTAAATTAAATATTTAATGATTTCAATATTAAAATTCTAAGAAAAACAAATGCCCTGTTGTATCCCATTTACTAAATTACTATATTTACTAATTTACAAAATTTACTAAATTAAATTCAGCCATTTTAAAAAGTATATATTGCCTTCTTGTGTGTCAATAGTTCCCGATATCCGAATCTTTTAAACTGTCTGATCTGACATAGGAATACGCCCTATCAGCATATTTTTGTGATACATAAGTCCCCAGACTTTTTTATCGCGCTTCAGCCTGATATCAAGCTGGTGAGTTGCCAGATACAAAAATAACAATTTTTGTTTAACAGAATACTAGCCCCCATGAAAATAACATTAGAATTCATTGAAAATACATAAAACAGTTATACAAATGTATATAAAACTTACAAAGAGTATAGTTTCCTATTATAATATAAATGCATATAATCTTTTTCTTATTTCAGATACTTGTGTAAAGTAACGGAAAAACATTGGGAAAACAAAGAAGTTGAAATATATTGGAATAATATGAAAAAATGAGAAAATATATTTTTATAATTTTTTCATACACATTGTAATGACCTCGAGCAATGTGTTAATAGTTGAATTGTATAATAAACTTTCGAAATAGAACTATATTTTAAATATCCGAGTAACATCATAAAATATAAATTATTTTATATAGGAATAAGTTATAAATGCAACTTTTAGAGATTTCTCCTTGGAATATATAAAATCAGACTTATGGATGTTGAGTATTTAAGAAAATATCAAATCTAATATTTAATTATTGAGCATTACTTTGCTGTAAGCAGCAGGCACATAATCATCTTCACCAGGCTTAATTTGATATGTCAACTCATACATCAATACAGTTACAAGCGAACCCAGAATAGGTTTATGATACATTTGTTGCAATTCAAAACCTTTTTTAAAACATAATTCCCTTCCACCTTCTGTATATTCTGAAGCAACAGTATTGGCACAACTATATCCTTGATCAATAGCAAACTGTACAGCAACATTAATAAGACAAGATGCTATTCCTTTCCTCATGTATTGTCGATGTACATATAATCTTTTAATCCATGCACCTTTGTCTAACCTATGACTCTTACATAAGGCAATGGTACCTACAATCTTCTTAACCTGAGACGAAATATCAATATTCGAATCACGGAATTGTTGCTCTGTCAATATGGTATAATGTACATTCTTGGGATTTTCTGTCATTAGATAAGGTTCAAATGCTTCGGCAACCCAAAAACAGGAAAATGCATTTGACATGAAAATCCTGTCATAATAGATGAAGAAGTTTTTATAATGAGATTAAATAAAATACAAATATTTTTCATTCAAATAAAGTATAAAAGCTCCATAAAATGTATTGTGGTAAATGACATATTATTGAAACAATTTACAAATTATAAGTTTTATAAAAAGAAAGAAAAATAGGTATAAGTATAAAGAATTTTTACCTTGGTATATTAGAAACTTCTTCATTGACTTCCATAGCTTTCGTAGTGAAACCTATGTAAGTTCCAATGTACACAAGAACAATAACAATAGGAACAACTAAAAGGCAAACTGAAAAGGGTAATCCAAAGAAGATGAACATAATAGCAGCAAAAAGTATCATCAATTGGAATGTTAGCTCCTTGAGTGCAATTCCAATAAATGTTGCATTTAAAGTTGACATCACGCTGGCCTTTACTATTTCTTTGCAACTGATTTCATCACCGGGCCTATAGCTTCGTATTACTATAATGTAACTCATCCTTCGAACTATTTGTCTTCACGATACTACAACTTTTACATATAATTAACAAATCCAAGTCAAATTACGCGTAGACTAACATATTTTGTGGTTATATTTATCAATTCAGTTTCCATGATATTTACGATATTCTCGCCATCTGCACCAGATCACACAAAATTAATTGTGCAGACTGATGTAGAGTTTTATGTGCAGAAATTTATAAATAATTTGTAAATTTTCAAAACTTAGCAATACAAATATCTATTTATATACAATGGTATTTTAATATTATACAAGGACATTTCATTCAAGTTGTTATGAAAATAGAAATATGATGTTATTAGACGTAACTTGATATTGGATTAAAAATGATACATTTAATTTGAAACTTCAAAAGAATACAATATTTTAAACTTTCGCCTCGGCATTTTTTGATTTTTGAAATATTAGTTTAGTTGCATTTACTTTATCGCGCATTACACAAGATAATGTACCAATGTTTAGTCAACCTTGAATACGTCAAATGTTGTTATTATCATATTTTAAGTATGTTTTTTATGTTAATAAAACATTGATCTTGTAATGAATCGATCATAAAAACCATAGAATACTAAACAAAATGTACATGTAAGTACGCCTTAAATTTAACCGAAGGTAGAAGAGTCAACTTCGGCCATTGTAACTTTAATCAGAAAACGCGTTGTGCATGACTGATATTTTCCAGTGTCCGTAATTATCTGATTAACAAGATTATTACTTCCCCGTTTAGATATTTTTTGAAGTATCTAATAAAACAGTGTTGATCATGACTGAAAGACCAAGTAACGGTGAATACAAATATCAAAGAGAAGAAAATACTGATTCTAAGGTAAGAGCATCATCTGAAAAAGATCGTGATGAAAAGGAGCATCAAGTTGACAAAGCCGGGGAATATGTCCGTGAACTTTTGCAAGAAAAAGTTGAATTGGATTCTCAGAAATGGCCTAATGCAACTAGATTAATCGATCAAGGTAAGTGTTATTGTTATTGTTAGCCTTTTTTTTTTAAACACATCTTCCTTGTTATTAATATTTACATTAACGTTTTTCACAATGTTTTTGTGTTTATTCCTCTTGTTATGTTTTAAATTTATTATTAACAGAGTTTTAATTTATTATGTCACGCAGCTTATAGTTTGTGCAAAGTGATTTTAAAGAATTGATATTTAAGGTTAGAGTGACGTGTATATGAACACTGTAGGTAAAATTTGACACTCACTTTTTTACGATTAAATTATTAGTTAAAAATATAAAATATCAAGGGCATTATAAATGAAATAATTGTTATTATATTATTGTAATATGTGTCATACTTATTTTGTACTATTTATAATCTTTTTAATAGATGAATTTTACAAAACATACAGATATTTATATTGAAATGAACAGAAAATTTTTTTAATGCATATGTACACGGTACACATATTAAATTTGTGTTTATATTGTAAATATGTCCTTAATATGTTTAGTTATAATATGTGTGCAACCATTTGTAGAATATAATTCCTATGAAATGTATGTATGGACTTGTCATAAATATGTTTTTTTCTTATACGTTCAGTGTACATTATCTTCTTTTATGATAAATATTATTTGTAAAGTTATTTGTTGTAAATATTACCAATACTATTTAAACATATATTCAGCAGAAAAAATACATATTTCTTAATTTTTGCCCCATGGAAAGAAATAATATTTTTAAATAAATAAATTCCTGTTCCTTTGCCATTAAATAATGAAACTAAATTGTTTTCAATAATTTAGAAGACTTTTTTTCTTAATTCAGCATTGCATTTATATAGCATAGAATCAAGTATTACTTTGTTTAATAGAAATTCAAAAAACTCAGGCTATGGGAAAGCCAATAAGAGATCCAAAATATGTGGACATTTATCGTGAGAAACCAATCCGTGTTTCGGTTAAAGTATTGGTGCCTGTTCGAGAACATCCTAAGGTAATTATATTTTTCAATTGATACATTGCTTATATTAATAGTAAGAGACATAATTATATTATGAAATTCTTCATAGTTTAATTTCGTTGGAAAATTACTGGGTCCAAAAGGTAATTCCATGAAACGTTTGCAAGAAGAAACAATGTGTAAGATGGCAGTATTGGGAAGAGGATCAATGAAAGATCGTCAAAAGGTATAGTTTAATTTAATATTTCTCTTTATGGATTTTATGATTATCTTTTTTACTTGTACGTAATATCTTGAAAATTGTCCTTCTCTTAACTCTTGATAATGTATAATTTGTTCCAACATAGGAAGCAGAGTGCCGCATGTCCCTGGATCCAAAATATGCACACCTTTCGGACGATCTTCACGTCGAAATAACAGCTCTCGCACCTCCAGCAGAGGCATATGCTCGTATCGCGTTTGCGTTAGCTGAAGTTCGGAAGTATCTAATTCCCGATAATAATGACAATATACGACAAGAACAAATGAGAGAAATGGAGATGACTATGGCAGATGATCCAGTAAATCCCGACGATAGAAGACCTTCTGTAAGAGGTGTTCCAGCTGGAGGTGGAATATTAAGGCCTGCTGCAAGGCCCACCATGCCACGTTCCTCGAGAGGTTAGCAATCGTTCAATTAATCTGATTTGCTGATTCCTTTTCTCTTTACAGCATATGTTACTATTTATTAAAACTAGTGCAAATTCTTTGTGTCTTATAAGTAGCCCAGTAATTTGAGAAGAGCAATTAACATTTCGTTAGTTACTGTTTAATGATTAAAACAGTGAGCGATCGAGAAAAGTAATTTTGCGGCATACCATGCCGATTCCTAAATCTTGTTATTTTAGCGGCAATACTGCCACCACCTTCGAACCGAGGGCCGATCGCTCGTCCTGTATCAGGGAAAAGTAAAGTATTTTCTATTTTGGATCGTGCAAGAGTAGCTATGGATCAAAGTTATGGGTAAGTTATACCTAGTGAGGGATGAGTCATTGTACCTGTAGTAGTACGATGTAAAATTGTAAAATTTGCGTACGTCGCTTTGTTCATAGGTATGAGACTGCTACCCCACCACCAAGTAATCGCGTTGGGTCACATCACGATTACGATTATCATGGGTCGTCGAGTAGCAGTAGCCGATATGGGGACCGACATTATACATCAGGTTCGGGAGGGTAAGTATAATTGGCATTTTCATCAAAACGTTTCTATTAAAATTTTCCCCGATATTAAATTTCCGAGAATATCGAAATCGTTTTTATGCTTGTCATAAATGGTGCCTTGTATAAAATATAAATTATACAGTAGAATGAGGATTATTCGAAGTAATAAACTAAGCAAACTAAGCATTTTCGGATAGTCGATCGTTGGAAACCGTATCCGAATCCGTAAAAGTCGTATTTTCTCAGAGTGTGCGTAGAAGGTACATATGAATTTCGAGTAACATAGGTTTCGTCAAATATTTTGTGCTTTTATATACATCATTTAGAGATTATGTATATCCTTCTCCGAGGTATACAACTTACGAGTACGAAGACGACGCCGCACCACATTCCTCCCACGAGTACTATGAAACATCCGAATATCCAGGTAACATTTTAAAATTATTGTTGCAATAACATTTTGTTTGACTAACAAATTTAACACGTAATTGATTCATATCATTAAGTTTAATGTTTGGAAACATAAATCATCATATCATGTTTGTGATATACACAAAATAAACTAAAAGAGAATTACGCAATTCCTATTGTATTGTATTTACAGTTATACCGAGTTAAATATCTTAATACATGATACATAGATTCATTGAACTTTTGTTCTTAAAAATAATTTAACGATTTGGAGTGAACTGAAACTAGTGAAGAATCTGATAACATAAAATATTGGTGGAGCTAGAAATACTTAATAAAATTAGTATAATAACGTTAATATTTAAAGTTTTAAATGGAACATTTAAATGTATCAGAATGTACCTAATTATTTTAAAAACATTAATAAGGTGGCTAATAGCTGCAATAATTAGCTCTTGAATTTGTGGAATGTTTACAACAGTTTTATATTCACGGTTAAATCTTTCAGAATTAAATCATTTATTGGACTGACTGTTCGATAAACTTGCATAAACGCCTAACCGCTTTATATTTCACGCATAAAATAATAGATATCTAAATAAGAACATCGAGATTAATGGAATGAAAATATTATATCAACTTTTTAAAATCATTAGGATATTCTTCAAAGGGTGTGTAGATATCTGAACTTGATTTCCCTAGAAATACTCGAAATATTCAGATACCCTGCACGCTCTTACCTTTTTCCATGCGTTGAATTGAACATTTAAAAAATCCTATCTATAATATTGAATGCTAAATAGTCACTAATGGCTTTACGTAACAATCTGAAATTCTAACTGAGCAATTCTTCAGCCGATTTACGAGAGAATTCTCTTAAACGTTAAAAATAAAGACAAAAATACGAAAGAAAAACAAACATAACATTTGCTTCGCGTAGATGGTTAGGAAACACCCGATTAATATATCGCCGTGATGTTCTGAATGAATTGAAGTAATGCAAATGACTCACTCCATGAAATTCGCAGAGGAATCATCGAGCCGCGCTTGGAAATCGTACAAGACGACAACGACATCGGGCTCAAGTTCGCGCTACCGCAACGCTCCGTACTCACGACCTTCCAAGTAAAAGTCCACAAAAAATCATCCTATAATTTTCGTAACATTTTTTTTTTAAATGTTCGCATTGCCTGCGATAGAAAGATTTTGTTTCTGATTTTATTTCATAGCCCTAAACCGTTGACTCTTCCTCACGCACGACGACCTATGGTGCCTGTGATGCCAAAAGCTATAAACGACCGAGACCGTTTTTAAACGATTGGCCACACGGAAGAAACTAGCACGGTAAACGACACGCACGCAGGCAATATTACAACTTTTCATCGTATTTCGGCAGTAAACGAGTAAATAGAAAACTCGCTAAAACTTTTAAGTTCGATTGATCTTCAATGGAGTAAGAAACTCTATTGCAGTGCTTCTCAAACTGAAGACTGTTGCGTGTTCCGTGTCTATTCGTTTATTTTCATTCTGAATCTTCAGATCTACATAATAAAGCTGACATGGTTTTTTTAGATCATTTTTTCGTAGTCGGTAAATGCATTGAAATACAATCATAATACAATGAAAACTGTAATTCAAGTGTCCTAGCGGCTTCGATGGTTTTGTGTCTCGAGCAATCGTGTGATATTCATCTCTAGAACGTGGTTTAATTTTATTGATTCCTTTCTTTGACTTTCTATAAAAAGAGTATAGACCCACTCCTTTAAATCCTGTCCGACAAATATGTCAGAATGGAAGGCTAGAGGACCAAGAGGATCAGTGGAATGAGACAAGTAAAATTGTTACATAAGCGTGTATTATAGCGCGATTTAGATTGAAAATGTCGTAGCTGTGTGACATTTTTCTGTAAATTGAATTTCGTATCCTCTTTTACTATTCCATTTTGTATGTGTACTTAAGTATTTCTTCTAATTGCCAGTACATCTTAAAATTATACCTGTACTAAATGGTACAACGAAAAATGTATAAATATATTGGAGAACTTAATTTCCATATACAGTCAGTGTAAGAAGAATTCGTACAGCAACTAATTTAAAATAAATGGTTCCTGTACGAATACTTATTACACTGACTGTATATTTTATGGAAACTTAGTCGTCGCTTTTAATATCGTGCAGCTTAAACGTTGATTTGTAAAGATATATAGCTCGGACAGTCGTGTGTGTTACAAAGGCATGGAACTACATGTCTAAAATGGAACAAAGTAAATATTGTAAATGATATTCAGTGGAAAGTGAACATATAAATTAATATTAAAATAAGTTATCTATGATTATGATAATTTTGCCGTATAATTCGTTTGATAATAATGTGTATAGTATTTACGTGCAAAAATAATTAAACCAATTTATCGAAAACTAAAAAAAAAAAAAACATAAATACATGTTAACGATCAAGTACATAATTATATGTACAAAATATATGAAGCAACGATTTCTGTAGTGTGTTGTAAAGATATGGTAGTTACAACATTATAAAAATCTGTAACCTTATAATCATGGAGTATAAGTATACAAAAATCATAAAATAATTTATGCGTAAATATTTTCTTGTCTCTAAAGTAACTATGTGTTTTCTCCTACATATGTAATTCTCATAAATTGAAATAAATGAGAAGTATAATAGCGCTATTGTAAGCTTCGTTTGAAACGAATTAAATTTAAACCCTGATTAATCAACACCATTATAATCTGGACAAAATATAAAGAATTATATTTAGATCTAATAAGTAACATTAATATTCTCAGCAATCTATAAAACATCTGTTTATCGATATGTTAATAATATCAGCTTAATCACAAAGAAACTTACGCATTTGATGTTTTTAAGTTTTACAAATTCACAAAATGTTAATTAATATTAAGATAAACTGTTGGAAAAATATAATAAATTTCGATCAATTTTTGTCATATCTTTGCATGTATCTTAATTACATCAACAGGACGAGGATGAAAACTAAAAACACTGTTTATTATATTTTTTAAACAATGATCTCATGCGTATTTAATTTACATTAAAGTTGACATTACGCGTGATTTAACATTGATAAACAGTACATTTGTCTGTGCCAATACGCATTTTTTAAAATTCTCATTCAAGTTTTATTGCAAGCTTCCAAAACATTTACTTCTAACATCTTTTTCGTGTATCCTTCTTAGGTGTATAGAAGCGTAAGGAAAAACGCGTGGGAACGCGTTGTCGTGGATTGAAATATTTTAATCTCCTTCTGTTTCTCTGATCAGTGGAGTTCGAAGTGCCTTGAAATCACGTGAGTATATTCGATTACTATACAATAATTTGTATATTCATATTTAAAAGTGCATTTAAAAATCTACGTTTGGTCTTCGACGAAACTTAATTGGTAATATTATCTTTTACCATTAAATACCATTTAATTACAGCCTTTTCTCTTCGTAACATTCTGTTGTTTCTAGTTTTATCATAGCTGACAATTTCAACAGTATCTTGGTTTACCATAGATATGTTCTTTTCATCTTATTACTATATCGAAACATTATTAATAACTTACATCCAGTGTAATAATGTTTAACTGTACGTTATTTACTTTTAGTTTTGCAAATTAATTGACATTGCAAGAATTTAGTTCACAGTCAGTATTGTCCGTAGTTAAATCGAAAAAGGCTTTATATTAAATAAGATTAAGGGATGCTTCTGTATTTATTGCAATCATTTACATTAAAATTTACAGTTTCTGATATTTCAGAATTTCTCGCTTTGTAAATGGCTTTCGCTACGCCTAAAATAATCTTAAGAGCTTTAATTCATTGAAGCTTTTAAAGTGCTTCATTTTGCAACTTTGCTTTCTAATTACGAGTGCAAAATTTGCATACGGAAGAAAATGATTAATTTGATCTAAAATTTGACTAGTGGAAGACGAAGCTTTTTGCATGCGTGAATACCTGAAGCTGCTTTCTTTGTTAGTTATGTGCAAAAAATCTATGAGATAGTAAGACTTTCTTTCAGGCAATGGAGTGTGCCGATTTTGGCACATTACGATTACACCAATCGACGAAGAACTAATATCATTTAACTGTTAAGCAGTGACCGGTATAATGGAAACTAATAATATGCGTGTTCTAAATGTCTTTAAAATTTCAACATCGAATTTAGCGATCACTTCAACGCCATAAATGATTCAACCGCTTAAATCTTGATTCGGTGTATTTGTGTGGAATCGTCAATTTTTAAAAGCTAATATTGAATGTTAAAATAGTTCGTAGTACGTAAACTAGTTTGTTAAGTGTTTCTAGAAGATCCATTAGACTTTTTTCGGTTGTGTCGTCCAGAAATCGTTACTCCGCCTAGTTAATAATAATTCGAATATCTTGTTGAAGTGATTTTTCCGTCTTTGTGATTACTTAGATATGCGTGAGTCATTTAAACCGGTCATGTTTTCGAATGAAATGCAAATGATTGTATATTCTATTTCTATAAAACTAAGAATGTAGATATCATTTTATGATTTTATAGTGATTATTTATGAGTGTAATATTAACATGTGCATCACCGTTTATGACGGAAGAAATTAAATGAAGAATAAAGAAATCGGAAATACATATCGACCGAATGTTTAACCTTTACTTTCTAGAAAATATCGAAGGAAGAATTTAGCATTTTTATTTCATTTATATAGATTTTGTTACGAGATACTTTTACTGGTTTTGAGTGTCCCGCGTAAGGGTTTGAAGTACAAGTACAAGCTTTCTCCAGCAGATGGAGTGCTGAGGGGCTGGAAAAATGGCGATGGTGAAAGTGCCGCGTAAAAGTAAATGTTATACCGACCGCGAGAAAAATGGTTTGAAGCGCAATCTATGTTTTAAAATGGTAACTCTGGGAACCATGTTCTATCTAACTACCACAGTCGGTAAAAGTAGGAAAATTAGAAACCTTGTATCGGTACATCAGTGTTCTTCAAAGTTCAAGGTACGACTCATAGAGAGCGCCACATAATCTAAGGGAGGGGCGCAAAAAATAATATTATGTCTTACAATTAGAATATTAGGCATTTTTGGGAAAGGTTTGGGAACATATTGAAGTAAATGGGATTTGGGAAATGTCAGTGATTTTAATTCTATATACTTCAGCAGTTTGCTAAAATATTCCAAGCCATCAGAATAAATGAAACTTATTGACGGTATACTTTTTTAAGTCAAATTGTTTACGTTTGCAGAAAACTCATTACAAATTAGAAGTTTATATATAAAGAGTTTGGGAATAGAGTTTAAGCTATGTTTTTCTTCTAAGTTGTTAACTCAACTCTGATAGTTTAATTACTATACCTTTGAAATCATACGAAAATCTGACAAATACTGCAACTTTGACACTAGTGATTCCTTTGACGAACACTCGTTTCATCATCGACTTGAATTTTTCTAACTATTCGATCAAAATCGACGGAGATTAAATCTCCATGAATTTTAGAAATTTTCGAACGCGACGAATGATTCGAATAGCGTGGAATATCGTTCGAAGGGTGCGCGCATTTTAAAGTTTGTAAATTGCTTAGAAACAATATTCTTATTTATTTATCACACACCAATATACAAAAATGAAATGTATAATCAATATCAGAATATAATATACTACGAAATTCAAATATATTTAATAAAGATATATCTGAGTATCTTACAAGATTAGAATGATGGTTCAACGTGGAACAAAAATTGTCTACAACATTCTTTGCAGTTGGCACAGAAATTCTGGTAGAAAAACGTCTTTCTACGGCCGCCCTAACGATTATAAATAAGTATTAATTTACGTTTGGGGTGGGAGGAGGGAGGGGGGTAGCTTAGTTCTAACGAGTTCGCCTAAGTAGTCGTGAGTGAAAATAGGGGTGGGGGGTTCAAGGTTTTCCTCGTTCTCTTCTTTGTGTGTGTGTGTGTGTGTGTGTGTGTGTGTGTGTGTGTTGCCTAACATTTTTTCTCGTTTTTTCTTGCCTAACTAATCCCGGCGTTGGTCCGAAACTCGGTCGAAGGTGGGTTCCCTGCCTTTTCGTTTATCGTCGTTTCTCTCTCCTCGTTTCGTCGACGGAATCTATGGATTATAAGCGCTCGCGACGTCGTCGTCAAAAAATTCCAGTTCCATCTCGTCGGGAACGTAAAATTCGTTGTCGACGCGACCGCGTATTCGAACCTTCGTTAAATCGTGTATCTCTAATTAGAACGTAGCGGCGATTCCCGGTCGCCCGTTGCAACCACGCTAAATTACCTCACCTCTATGAAAAAACATGGAATGATAATAGTAAATTTTTTTTTCGTTTTGCCCGTGTTATCGGTTTATATCTTAGTAATATGTACGATTATATCACAAGAAAGATTCAAATACTCTGTACATAATATCCCCGGGGGAACGCGAGACGTTCGATCAGGTTTCTTAATCTTACATTTACATATACGCCTAAGATTTAATTACAAAGTTAGATATGTCTCAGGTTCACCTGGTATTGTACTTCAACGCAATTTCTCATGCTTTCGCTCCGCTCTTTTCCCTTTTTTCCAGTGTCCTATCCGTTCAGAACGGGATGGACCGAGCATTCGATATACGCGTTTCGGTCGGAGACGTTTCTTTTCCCTTTTTTTCTTTTCTTTTCTTTTCTCTTTCTTCCGGCTTCGATTCTCGTCCACGTTCTCTCGTACCTTAAAACTCTAACGCAACTTCCGGTGCTCGCTCGATCGCGTTTCGTCGATACACGGCTCCCGGTCGCTCGCTTCTTACGTTTCTAACTCGATATTTGTTTAATTGGCACATCTCAAATGGCAACTTTCGCATTGGCACGATGAGTGATCCTCGGATATGTTCCTTGGGCTTCCTCGAGACTCGTCGACACCAGAGATGGGAGAGAATTTACATTTTTATATATATAAAAAAAGAAACTATTTCTGTGGTTTCATTTGAACATAAACACCGTTGAAATGTTGTTCGTGTATGATTCTACCAATATCTAGCGCGAAATTTCAGTTTGTGAATCGAATTGTTATTGATTATGGGAACTTCATTTTTACTTGGTTTTGGTTTCTTTTTTTTTTTTTTGTTAGAGAAGCAAATTCAATTTGGAGAATAGAAAATTCAGAAATAAAAGTTTTGGTATCCAGATTGAAATTGCACTTATAATTAAATTTCCATTGAACAAATCATGGATTAAAAGTTGTTCATCTTTGAAATTTCTATCTAAATAACCACTTTGCCCACCTCTGGTCGACACCGACGATCAGTAAACGCGCTTAAACCTTGTCCCGTTCTTCGTTACGAAAACGAAAATCGCGAAGAAGCTTTCAATAAGGAGGAAAATATAGTCTCGCTGCGATTAATCGCTCGACTGTTGGGCCCCTCGAAAGCTAAACCGATCCATACTCCATTCTCTATAAATTTCTCAATTCGTATCAATTTTTAAAAATGAATTTCGAAATTCAAATTTCTTTATCTAGATATGAATTTGCCTATCGCTGACGTCGGTTACCAAACGATAGTCTGTGTTCGACACTGTCTACGGGTCTTTTGAAAACGCAATTGTTGTTTATCCGATCTGTCCTTTGCGTCGACGTATCGCGCTGAATTTATCGCAGGACATATTTGGCAGCTATAAATCTATGAAAGATACGTTATTAGTTGACGAGAATACGAAGTACATAAAACACATAATAAAGCATTGAATTGTTTGCAAATTGGTGTGTTATTGAGCCAGTTTGATAACATTCGAAAACAAAAGAAGATTCGAAACAAAGCTCAACTTTTTTAAAACAATGTTTTCAAGCGCATTAGTACACATTTTAAAAAGAGACAATTTTGTATGATTTTTTATAAGGGGTGCTTCAGAATTCATAAGACGAACTCAAAAGTTATTAAACGTAAACCATGTTCCAAGATATCCCCATTATTATTTGTTAAGCTCTGTTTACTGTTATATGTATCGTATCGTATCGAGAATAATAAATGCTTTCTGTTCCATCAATTTTTATTCATTAAATTCTTTCTCCAATTCTCGTAAAGCTCTTGTATCTTTCCAAAATTCTAAAATACCCCATGCATCAGAATTCCCAAAACGAAACCTCGTCTCTTCGAACGACAAGTTTGACAACCTGCACACTTTTAAATACACACTCGACGAAATAATGCAATGCCTTATTATGCAGATGAATCGTGAACATCAAAAGTTTGCGTGGAATAAAGTGTCTCTTAATACGTGTATAGAAAGCTGTATTTCGTATCATTAATTCTAGTCGACTGTACAAAATCATTGGAAAATCAGCGTAATGCCGAGCTTGAGTAATCGATCGTCGGGAAACTGCAACGAATAGACAACTGCAATGTCGATGATTCGGCTATTCGTGTCCATAGGTTGATTTTAACGAAACCTCGCGATAGATAACGTTTCTATAATAAATTAATCATTTGCACTCGAGAGATAAACCGCAGTAGGTGGTTCGTGTACACCCCAAAAACACTGTGCAATGGCAACGGTAATCGCGGATTCGAATGACGAACAAACGAGAAAGACGAATTATTAAGAAACTCGATGAAAACGTTCACGCTAAACGTGTGTTCACAAATGTGTTTACAAGGAAATGTGTAACTTCAAAGACAGCGACGCCATGAATATTCAACGGCCGTTGCATACTGAATGTTTCCATGTAAATGGGAGTCGGGTTGTTCCAACGTAATGGACTCGATCAGCCAAGAAAAATAGCCCGTTAAACGTTTAACGAGTGGTTCACATTCGTAGTCGCTAAATTATAAGTTGTAGCGCGGCACAGAGAGCGATACATAACGTTATGCTGACAATATTAATGCTTACGTAACGGCATCATAATCGATACTGCGCGTATGTCGGACGCTCGGTAATGAGCAAAGAATAACGATGCTTGAGCAATGTAAATAGTCGACCCAAAAATTATACGGTGAAATAAGCCTGTTGTAAATTGTTTCTTCTTCGTCGTACTCTGCGCGTACGCGTGCATGTGTGTTTATACGTTTACGTATGTATTCTCCAATTATCGATCGATTCGCGAGCTGCAAGGATACGAACGACTGAAAAACTTCTAACCAGTTCAGCTCTCCGCGATATACAATTTTGTTTTTATGATACACTCGTAGCGCCGAACTGGCAATGAACTCCTAGCTCCTATTGTGCATGTAAAACGCTCGTCGCGTTCGAGTATGCGAGATTCTTCTGTTCATCCTCGAACGAACCGACACGAATGTTCCCGTTTCGACTGTGATTCTGTTACTGTACTGCAAGGTTCGGAACACAGGGCTATAATTCCAAGCATTAACCGTAACAATTGCACAAACGTTTCGACTATCACTATTCCTATCACAAACAATCGTACACGCACGGATATATCCTCTGATCGAATACGGATTTCGTGAGCATGCACGTGAACTTAGGGGAGGGAAGACTCGACGAAGCTTCGAAGCTTCGAACAGTGGCGACGAAACGCGAGCCAGGCTTGGGGAAACTCGAATAATTTTAGTTGAGAATTACTGGGAAGCATTATCGCTGAATTTATTTCGAGAAGAAGCGAATCATATACATCGTATCGAAGATGGGGGTGCATTTCGCTCGTGTTTTCTTTCATGTAGAATTTTGTTTGTTCACGTTCGTAAAGAAAACCTTGGTATGCAGTGATCTTTTTAAACAAATACCGTGCAGGCAATCGAACATCATTGTCAAAATGTTAATATTTCTATGTATGAACATATGAAATGACCCAATAGATTCTCGATCAGTGCGTACGATATCCAAATACCCAAGCTTCGAAGAACATTCAAACTCCCACCAGCGTTCACCAATACTAACACAGTCCCCAGACCTGTCTCGCGAGTCCGTCGCGACGATCCCGTCGAATCGATCGATACGTTCCTTCGGAATCAGCACGGTTGCGTTTCGAACGAACAGGCAGTGAAAGAACAAAAGTTATTCCTATTTCGTTACGCGAGTACGCACGTTCGTCGATGAGTACGCGATCAGGGGCATCGAAGCGTCCTCGATGGTGCGCCCCGAGTTGCTTCTCTAAACAAAGGGGAAATCAAGTCGTCCCGTGTCATCCCACCGGGCCAAGACGGATCTTCGTCGTGGATCCTCGTGGACCCACGATCGCTATCTCCACGATCGATCCATCACTTGGGCGATTGCACATCTTCACGCGGCTTCGTTTCATTGATTTACCTAAAAAAAACGCTCGTCGACCAGCCAACCTCGGCGAACACGGACATCCGCGACGCTTCCGTTGCACACCCTCTTAACTTCCTGTCGAATGAGTGCGCTTCTCAATTATTATACAAACGCTCGTGGTTTCGCGGACATACGTGTCGTTTCTGTGGTCCACCGGAAGCTGTTCGCGCGCCCGTTACGACCACGAACAGCTCAGTTGTACGGCCAGGAGTGCCGGATCGAAGTGACCACGTTCGAGGTAGGCGGGTCCTCTGGGCGTCACTTCTTCATGTCGTTCATCAACGTGCCGTCCTTGCTCTTGTTCGTGTCGAGGCTCGACTGTTGACTACTTGTCACGCCGCTACCGTTGCCTGGGTACATCTTCTCGAGGTGATTCAGGGACTCGCTTAGGAACTTCTGCAATTGAAATTGTTGGACTCAGTACCATGATCACTGTCACAGGGTAGAACCATAGAGATAGTATACATAGTATACATAGAGCAAGGGAGTTAGACCTCTGGGTGTACCATGGCCAAAAAGAGATAGAAAACCGTGGCACTTGTATAATTAATTGAAAGGTAATACAGTACCTGTATTGCCGTAAGAGCGGCTACGATCGCAGGACTTCCGAATCCGTGTGATATGAGAGAGAAATGTGTTAGATGTCTCTGTATGCTTGGATCGAGAATGTGTTGTGGCCGTGTGTTGCAAAGTGGTGATCTGTCTTGATTCAGAAGATCCATCAGCTCTTTGGTGATTTGTCTGAAACGAGGAACAGCAACATTAATTCTAATTAAATTAAATTTCATTTAAATCAGAGTTCTCGAATCATCTGAACATCTAAAGCTACTATCAGAATTTCTGTAATTGTTCCGCATTCTTTCATTTGCCCTTTAATTTTCACTATTTCTGTTGAACTTTTGAAACCGCTCTTAAACTAACATTCTCGACACGGAGACGATATATTCGCGGTTCGATAAATTCAGAAGGAACGGTTTCGTTAATGCTGGGGAGTTTGAGCATTAATGCGTATCAATCGATGCAATCCCGATCATCGCGATAAATTTCTTTCACCATTGTTCGCGGCGCGGAGATAAATTCTTACTTGGTGGCATGAAGAAGTTCTTTTCTCCTGTAGGAATCTTGCGGTTCACAATGCTGCCGACTGAGGTATTCGGCAACTTGTTTCGCAGGGAATTCGGTTTCGCAAACGTAGCCGAAGTCTCTGGCAAGGTGAATGGCTTCTCCTGAAAAAGAAATAAAATACAACGGTGTAGGAATGGAATTACGTAACCCGTATGGAAATTTATGCATTACTCTTTTTTTTTTTTTTTTTTTTTTTTTTGGGCAAACGGTCTACGAGTTAACGGAACTGGATAAAACCTTCCACGTCGAGGTCCAAAGAGTTTCATTATAAATTAATTATTGATACGTTGACCTCCGCGTCGTCCATACATGGGTGACCGGACTTTTCGTTAACCCTTCGACTGCGCGAAGATTTTTGCTGGAAATTCTAGGACGTGTGATTTTTAAGAAAAAATATCATCTTATAGGGAATGATAAAACGAAACTTTTCAATTTTTTACTTTCAAAACTAAGCGTCTCACGAATAAACTGTAAATATGAAAAAAGTTTCGTCTCATCATCTCCAATAAGCTGATATTTTTTTTTAAAACTGATTCAACGAATATAAACATCTCTCTGAGCCCATTTCGCGCGTGCCAGTTTCAAGACTGTTCCTCAACCAGAGGAACGAACTAATTTACGATAATGAAACAACATACGTGCTTTCTCTTCAGCACGTGGTCCGTTTCTCCCCTTTCGGTACAATTCTCATCGTCGATGATGGCAAGTAATTAGGTACCTACAAGCAGGGTCTCGTGCAAGATGGAAGCAGACCCGGCGGGCGCTATTATCGACAACCGTGCAAAACCACCCGCAGGCCTGCCGGGTTTTCGCCTACGAAATCGAGAACACAGGCCCCACAGCCACCTGCTCCTAACGAATTATCCAATTTCGTGGACTCGTTCTACCGTTTCCGCCTCCTCGTGCCGGGAAAAGTATGTAATGCGCTCGATAATTGTGGATTTCGGGCCTCCTCTTGCCTGCATTCGGCTAAGAATGCATTTTCAACGTTTCGATTACGCCGATCGACCCGAGTATCGTACTTGTACTCTCGGATGTTCGATAAGTGGAGACAGTGGCGCGAAAGGGCTGGATTATGGTTGCACTACGTACAATGCTCTGTACGTATAGCGTGCAACATAAATTCTACCATAACGAGAGCCACAGAGAACCAACTGCACTCGTTTCGCGCAAGAAAATTGATTCGACAGTAGAAAGAAGGATTTACATGGACGTCTAAGGTCCCGATCGACTATGAAAGCGTTGTTTCAGGGGGATTACCAATCCAGACGATAATCTATGATACAGACGTGGATTGAGACAACTCAATGCAACCAGTAGAGCGTACGTTGCCTGATGCAGATGAGGACCGCAGATTGGTCGGTAGGTGATTGCAGATGCGAGCTCAGATTGGCGCACGGAGCGATATGAGAACGAATCAGCAACGTGACTCGCGAATTAACGATCACCCCTTTTTACTTGATGACTTTACTACGGTCGTCGACGATCGCTCGACGTTCGATCGAAAAATCGACGCGTTCATTGTAAAGCCTCACGGTTCGATTATGAAAGAAACTAGCTTTGTTGTACGGTAGAAAACATTTGGATTGTTTGTTTGAACGTTAATCACATATCACAGTAATCGCACTTTTACTTTAACTCTCCTTTTGTTAAAAATTTATTTTCAATCTGAATCATAGCTTCTTTAAACGTTAGATAGATTTCATTCCAACACCTGTTGTTCTTTCTTTCCGCGTGGATGGATTTCTGTTGCCATGTTATCGAAGAACGGTGAACGATATCGTTCCATTGGTCGGCCGTTGGCGTAACTCATAGGCAACGTGAGATGATCGATCTCTGACCACAAACTACACTCGACTGTAGCCTCTCGATAATCGAAGCCTCGAGAATTTCGGGGGGAACTCTCTTCCGCGTACCTCGAGACAGCGATGTTCGGATAGCCGCGAGTGTACTTGCGGTTTCTCCCCTGTCGAAGCCCTCTCGATTACGACTGATGCTCGGATACTATGTAGTCGATACGTAAGGCGTATCGATACGCAAGTCATGCTCGCGTATAATATTTGTCCCCTGAATACATTATGAAAACATCGATGATCAAGTTCCAGTTGTTTTTTTAAGGAGCGCGTAGCTCACATATTTGTTTATTGCATCCAGTGGTCCACGCTGAAAAACGTTTAGAATTCCGCTAGAATAGCAAACGGATACGAAGCATTTGAATAAAAAATATCATAGACGAGAAAGGTCTCTCCCTTCTCAAACGAAATTCAGAATGACAAAATAACTTCCGTTTGTTAATTCGCAGTTCATTCATCAAAATATTTTATTCCACAATAAATCTTAATCAATTCTATAGTCATAATTGATTATCACCTGTTTCGACACAGCAGGCGTATTAAAAATTGCCACCTGCACGAGGTTCCCCCAAAATATAATTAGTTACCTGAAGTGGAAGTTACTTATGAATCGGTGTAACAGTTTCACCAAAATCGTCACCTGACTTTGTCACAGCACAGTCTGTGACGACATGCTACACGTCCACGAAGTTCGGATCCCCTTTTTCTCAAACAACCCGTGTAGAGGAAATGATAAACAGATGCCGTCGTTTCGAACCGAGAAGATAGCGAAGCGACAGGTGGAGCCGGAGACGAAACGAGCTTTTGTCGTGGATTTAACCGACGTTGCGTCACCGTGCGGCAACCAGACACGAATTTACGCATGAATCACGCACGTACGTTAATCGTGCGCGACCCAAGTATACCAACACACCTGGTGCGTTTACGTCCTCCGTTCCAGAGGCGGTTCCCACACTTTCGCTGCACCGCGCCAACTCTTTCAAAGGCTATCACAACCGTTTACTTGACGAACGTGGATGTATCGAAATGTTACATCCTTCCACGAATTTACCTTTCTATCTTTCGGGGGAGTCTGTAATTATTCAAACTTTCAGTAAGTTGCAGTCCCTGTATGCGTTTGCATGACTGCAGTGTTTATTATAGTAAATGCATACAATTCCTCGAATTTGGTTTTCAACTTCTCGGAGGAGTCTATAACGAGTGACTATCTCGATGGCTCCGTGAATTTGAATTTTGTTAAAAACTTTGCGATTTTTCAAACTATTACAAACTACAAACGATACCAAAAGCAATTTCGTTCGAAATGCAACTTTCATTCAATTCGATCGTTTTCGTCAAAAATTTTTCAACCAATTCAGTGCTCTATATATAATTAATAAAAGTTACACTCGATCTCAAGTTATTCACAGATTCAAGACATAAAAAAAAAAAAAAAAAAAAAAAAAAAAAATAGAACTACATCGAATAACGGACGTAATATTATAACATAACTGATTAACACGGAGAATAATATACAACGATGTACAAGTCAGCGCGAGTTATTAAAAAATCAATAATTAAACCCGACGAGAACTAAGTCGACGTTTAAGCCACATCTGGACAGCGATCGATGGATCGTAAAAGCCGAATATTTCCAATTAAGAACCATGTAATGATCCATACGTAGGGTTATACGTTGCGCAAGGCAATGATAGATTTTATTCGACGATACCGCTCCAATGTATTCCAGTTATTCCACTATGCGTCGATAATGAGAGATGGGATGGTCCCATCCGTTATGTTTGCTCTTTCTCGTTGGTTGTGTACACGCCTGGCCGTTAGAAGAAACAACAAATTGAAATGGAACGCAACAGTTGTTCGGTTAGAGTATCTTCGAGATTAACTTCCGTCTTCGAAATGCCATCGAGTAATAGGGATTCTAAATGTCCGATCGAACGAGTTCGAAAACCTGTCTGTTGCGAGACAGTTAATTAGAACGCTAAACGGGATAACCCGAGAATACTTTCTGGTAATTTAATAGAATACGTTTTATGGTCTCTGTGTTATTGAAAGGTATTTGCCGGTGTGTTAGATTAGATTGCGACAATATATTAAAATAGATTCGAAATTTATTATCGCAGCGTTCAACCTATTGACTCCAGTTTCTGATTGGGTGTCTGAAATCTAAATTATGCTCCATCCAGTTTGCACGCAAATTATTAAACACTCGATGTAATTTTTCTACGGGAGATTAAATGTATCCTTTTTCCGTAGCATTAGAATAATCATTCAGCGCGTACGTTATTGAATCATTGTAGATAGTAACGCTGCAGCTAGTTATGCTAATGCACAACGACTGACTACATGCCTCTTTAAATCGGCTTCTCAAGCCACGAGCATCGACTTTGACTCTTCTTTCTTGTTAAGGCAAAGTTGAAACTCGACTTCTCGTATCTAAAATTTATTTGCCTAACTTCATGCACGCGTCTTCATTCAGAACCGCCATACTGTCGTGGCCCTTATTTATCATCCCCTTAGCTCCGCAAGAACTGTATCGCCGTCACCGCGATAAAACGACTGTTAAAATGCGCTTTGACCGCACACGCGCCGCGGTCGTTCTTCGCGGATGTGTCAGTGACGTGGAAAGAAAAGATGGGGCTGCGTTTTATACAACTCCACCGACCATAAATTATAATCAACGTCTGCACCAACACTCGGACGATCCTCCAGCGGAGTCATTAGAGGTTCGTCCTGGAAGGGAGCAGGACGAACCTTGCGCGTAGTGCTAAAGTGGACGAACGTTGCACGAGTATATTATTAAGAGCGCGGTTACCAGTGGATATCCTGCCGGAATGATTCCTGATTAACCGACGTCTCCGCGAGGATCCCCTGTGCTACCGTTAAAACGCACTTAACGCCGAGTCGTTTGCGTGAAATGATTCCATCACAGTGATTTCAAAGTCGCGTCCGGCGTGGAAGTAAGTCGTAACGCGCGTATTTTCCTTGCGCGAAGATTGTAACGCGGTATGCATTACTTCGTAGCTGATTGTACGAGCGGTAAACAAAGAGTAAGGCCACTTTGAGGGATATACAGAGTGACGTTTCATTTTACGTCCAAGCATTAGTTGCTTAAGACGTTTACTTCGCGCGTGGTAGACGTGCATTCGAGTCTTTTATTATTATTATTATTAATATTTAGACTGCGGATTTTACGCATTTACGAGATATAATAATATATCAAATATTACGCGACACAATTTATCGGACAAATATAAATTAATCTAGTAGTTTTATTTCAATCAGTGTAAACAAAAAATTCTTTGCAAGTATTATTCTTTCAAATGTCAATTTTCAATCACTTCGCGAGACGTGACCTTTCGTTGGATAAATAAATATCGATAATTACATACGAGTGTTTCTCACTCGTCATCGTAATCGTTTCGATTTTACTTTACTCTTTAGTACAATAATCGTGCTTGAACGACACGAACTTAATCTTCCAATCTTCCAATCATTACATTTACGAACAAACAAATTAATGTTCATTAAAAAAAAATAATCATTTTACGTGTCACGGCCACGTAACGACGTGATTACCATAAAATCATTGCTGGATAGACCGTGAGATTATTTAAATAAATGCAAATCTTTTTCTGCTACCAATACAACAAATAGGTTTTTAAATTAAAGGAAGAAAATATTCAAGCTTATGCGTTGCAATTCTTATCTTTATTACTCTTTAACTGTCATCTGGAAAATGGGAATAATAAAGATTGGCTTCGAACGATTTAAAGAAAGAAACGAACGAAGTTCAGATCTACATAATTAAACTAAGCAATTCCTGTTTTTTTTTAACCGTATATTTCTCGTACGTTATAAAACAATTCGCGTTCAGAAGACGCAAAACCTATATTTATGATTGGCTATAGAATAGACTTTTATTAAAAGTTTTTATCGAGTTTTGATAAACTATTGTTTGTCATTCTCCTAAATTAATAACGCTCTTAAATGCCCATTGCCCCAGTTACGCATGCGTTATTGGTGTATTTCTTCCTCGAGTGGTGGCGATTATCGAATTTTATTTATCGTTTTCGTGACTAAATTTGTTGTCTGAATCTAATTTAAAAACTAATGTCCGATCAACTGAACATTATTTAATTGGAAACATGGATTTTTATAGAGTCAAGATTGATTGTATAGAGAGTGGATTGGAACTCACCTTCCACTAGCGATGTTAAAAGCGTGACGTTGGCGGCCTTCCTTCTACCGGCTGGCAAATTTAACCCAATTTTTTCCAATTTTTCCCTAAGCAGACGTCCGCCGTTTTTGGACTTCGCTCTAAAATAAAAATCAGAATCATAACGGTACAGTTAGTTAGCTCGATGGAATGTAGGATATACAGGGTATTCCAGAATTAGTGTAAGAACCGGTAATGGGGGTAGCTGAGACGATTCTGAACAAATTCCTCTTTGAAAAAAATGTCAAAATAGGTTTGAATTATTAACGAAAACCGAAGCACCGTTCGACATTTTTGCAAAGAAAATTGTGGTTCAGAATCGTCACGGCTACCGCCCCCCCTCCCCCCCCCCACACACGCTAACAAGATCTTTATACATCACAGTAGGACAAGGAGAACTGTTCTATAATTTTTATAACCGTAGCCTGCATCGCGAGTTGAGCAATCGAATTATTCAAACGTCGTATCAAGCCGGTTCATTTAAATAAATCATTGTCTCCTGGCCCATCTCTTTATTCAGCCCCATTTAAATACACCGATACCCTTTAGGCGAGTGCCTTACGCTAAGGCTCGTTCCAGATCGCATGAATTTCGAAACGGAACTGCCTCATTAATCATTTTTGTCGCGATCATTGAAGGAAGAAGAAGAAGAAGAAAAAAAAAGAAATCGTCGCGCGAAAAGGAAAGGGGTAGGGGCGGAGGAAGCAGCGACAGAGAAACGAGAAAATTAGCATAATCCGTAGCTACGCGTGTCATCCGTCGACCATTGAGCAACTCGAGTTCTGGGTAAGTCGATCGCGGACTGAGATCCTTTGAAAAATGTTGAAAGCATGCGCGTTACAAACAAATCGACGTTAATAGTTGAATAGAAAAGGATAGAAAAATAAGAAAAACAAGGAAAATAAAAGATACACAAACACGAGAGTGTAGGAACAGGGAAACTCTAGATATAGGAAAACAGATGAATTCAGCACGAGGAAATTAACACAAGAAAAATTGAAAACGTACAAATCTGGCTATATTGAGCTCAAAGAAAGGAAAAAAAAAATGCAATCATGAAGGTGATTTCGAGAAAAGCAGGATGGAAATGAAAGCGCTTATTAAATTCCGTTGCGAAGCCAATGAATTCGAAACGAACGGACTAAGACTATCGTTTCCCAGGTGAAACCGATCCCCGAACTGCTAGGCGGTCACAAATTACCGCAAGAATTCCTGAAGCAGGGTTACACTTCTAAATCAAGTTCCCAGCTGGCGTGTATCCCGACGTCCGCGTGTATTACAACGGGTATAAATAAAACGGTGTCCGGAATCGACGTACCGTGTCGTCGCGTTACGAGGAAGCAGCACGAAAAAGCGTCGGGAGCGTAGATCCGTGGGGCAGATATATTAAAATGTCGTAGCGGTAAAGTGTATTAATTGCCGAGCGAAGCGAAAGATTACCGGACGAACCGGCCTTCCTCGAGGACCGAACAAAGGTGGGCGATATACGGACGTATTACCGTTACGTTGGTCCTCGAATGATGGATGAATAGGGCGCGATTGTGAACGAGCACTATCGAATTCTCGATGGTGTTCCGCGGAAAGATCGTACTTCAGAACCTGTTAGCGTTTACATGTTGCTCGCCGCGTAAAGATTCTTTGCTCCTTTACTATTACGGTTTTGCTCGAGGGCTCACAGCGATCAAGATTTTTCCCTCTTTACTATAGATTGCGGTAGCTGGAGAATCGTACAGCTATGAGAAAACATACGGATGTGTGGGATGTGAAATGTTTACAAAAAATTAAAAACTAACGAATGAAATCGTTTATTCTCTTCTTCATTCGATATTTGACTAGACACAACGGAAAAGCGTCAACTGAAGGACCCCCTTGTGCCTTCGGTATTTTTTGAATCACGCGTGTTTTCGATCGTTCGGTAATCGCGTGAAACCTCGGTACGTTTTAATGTCACGGTCCCCTTATTCTAGGTCTCCTGTAAATAACGATTCGTCACGCACGTACGAATCTAGTGTCTACGCGTCGCATTAACGTGCAATTATCCTGTATAAATTACATAATCATTATCGCGCCAGGGCATTTACCACTCGACGTAACTCGTCGAGGACTTTACGCAACGCGTTGTCTTTCCACTCGCGCTTGTCGGCGAACGAATCCGCGTTAGACGGAGACGTACTCCCATATTATTTATTATCGACGCCGTGACAGTCCTTTGAACGTGACGAGAGCAATTCTCCACTCATTATAGAGTCTTGTCCCGAGAAGGATTCTCCTCGCAGGATTTCTCCGATCTTCTTCGCGCCCTTCGAATCGCGCTTCCCCTACGCGAGCTGTAGGCCACCCTGCACCCCTGATTGCTCGAGACATCCTCGAACGATGGCATCGTTAATCGTCTGCGACTGCGGCGCGATATTAGTAAAGCAGAGGTTCTTCCTGTCATCGAACGTGGCCTAGACGCACCCCTAACGATCGGTCGATGAAATATCGAAAGGAGGAACGATGTAAAATGGGGTGCGTAGCAAACCTCAGAAAGAAAGAAACTTATTGCACAAGCACAGCACAAAAATCTAAACGATCCCCGATTAGACTCGTATAGCTGTCGATTAGTTCTGCCTGGTATGCGATTGCCTTTTCAACGATTTCTTCCAACAGTCGAGCGACATTAATTTCTTCTCGCGTTTCAAATGTGAGCGATTATGTCTAAAAAGCTATTCAAATTCCGCAGTAAATTTTATAACGATCGCGCAAACGTTCGCCGAAGTGGCGCAAAAAATTTTACGCGCTCCGCCAAGGAAACGTAAACGTTTACTTTTTTTTTTTCTTTCCAGGCAACAATCGTAAAAGTTAATTCGAACGTATGTTTTATTCATAATTTCGCGTTTCGTATTCCTATCGGCTTGTTCTTACAATTAGTTAACGACTTCGAGGTTTACCGCCGAGTACGAGGCAACTTTGTATCGCGATTTTTGTTGTTCGACGTGAAACGTACTTCGTAATAAAACGTTATTTTATATGCCGATATCATCGTTATCACTTGACAGGTAAAAAGGTGTAAAAGTCACGAGAAATAAGTACGAAATATATTTAGTTTACGTAGAAATTATAAATTTAATCCATTTTCAGTTAGTGAAGGTAATACTAATTAATATTTATAGTCGAACTAGACAAATTAATCAGTTTTAACCAAGCTTATATGTTTTCTTGTTTCGATCATTTTCATAACTGAAACGAATAATGGCTCGTAGATCAGTAATGGTTATCACTACGTTGTCACACAAATAAATAAATGTAGGATTGGAATAAAAGTCTTCTATAGTCGATTGATATATAAGCTTGATCAAGAATGCTCACTTTCCCTTTAATTAATATTTCTAGCACTTCTACGACCTTTCTACGACTCTACGTTAAATTGTTAAGAAACAACGATGGTTGCGTACGATCCCTATCCGTCGCGGATCTCGCGATGCACGCTTGCTTTACGAACTCGAAGAAGATCCAAATGGTAACAGCTGCATCGCTGCATTATTTATCGACGGTTATTCGATAACATCGTAAATTTTCTCTCATTTTCTCCCCCCCCCCCCCTATATCTATTTCTTCCACTTTCCCTTCTTTCGCGGCGCTCTATCTTTATGACCAAACGAAGGTTTACGATCGACAGTTATACCTCGTTGCAAAAGTTGTTCGAGATGCGATTGTTTCCACCGCGAACAGAGATAATTTAAGCATCGCTGATTGTTCCAAAAAAGATTAATGATCATCTGTCAGCCGTATTATATGGATCTATCCTCCGTTCCAAGCATCTCGGTTCGTTTCGAACATCGTAACTTCTGAATTTATTGCTGCCCCTGTAACCGTTGCCAAGTAAATTAACGAAATTAAATAATGGCTGGTTGCGAGACGAGAAATCATTTTCACTTATAATTCTAACCGTTAATCGGTGTATTATAATATTATAATCTAGTATTTTTGATCTATATAAGCACGTTGATAAATGAAAGCAGTATTTCCAAGTGAAATAAATTTCATTTTTGTGTAACTAATCTAATAAATTTTATAACATCCAAGTCCCGTTTCAGTTTCTTCTAAAACTACTTCGGATGATTATATGATGATCGGATGATATTTATTTCTATCAAGCAATTGTCCACATACTTCTGAGCGAGGGCGTATATCCACCCTTATCATCAATGTAATAAGAAATATCATCATTTCTCCCATTTTTCATTTCTTTTACAATCAATTTTCTAGTCTCCAACGTTCCCGTTCGTAAATCTCCAGTCGAAGACAATCCCTCCTTCAAGGAAAGAAAGTCGAATCCCGCGGAGGAGTAGCGCGGTCAAACGGTTAATAAAATATCAATCCCTGTCAGCGATTGAGGAATCGATAAACCAAGTTGCAATTTTAATTTCGCGTCGAGCAACCGGCAATTGCGAGAGGGGTCGCGCATCGGGGACGACGCGGGATCGTTGGCAGCACTGTAAACCCGTCGCTCGTAAACCTTAATTCACCGCGAAGGTAGAACACTGGATGCGCCGTAGGGAGAGGGTGGGAGAGGGCGGAGAGACAAAAGAAAGGCAGATGGGCACGGTAGAATCTATGGTGGCAAGAGAACCCGACGCGTGTAATTATCAGTCGGATCGCTATTCGAATGGATGAATTATATCGTCGCGGTCTGCGGTGCATCGAATGCTCGCTGCCAGCCCGAGGCTCGCTCGTACGAGGATTTGACACTCGGAGCTATGCAATTATTAATGTCTCATTTGCATTGGGGATAGATCGGCCGCTTCATTGGCAGTTTACTCCCGTTGCTCTTTTACCTTCCATTTCTCCTTCGTGGCGGAATTTGCTCTGGTTTGTGGGACACTCGTAACGCTGAAGGGTGCGTTTCATCGATAGTCGATGAAGCGAACGTGCGGGCAATATAGCGACAATGACTTTCATGGATCCAACAGAACATTTAGATTCATAGAACGCATCGTTTCGGATGCTTGATACATTCGATGTTAGGGACACCTTCTCTATGACATTTTTTCTATTATTGGAAATTTTCTATTATTGGTTGAGGTACATTATTGGGATAGAAGGAGATGATAATATTTGTTCAACTTTTGTACAAGGTTTTTGTTTATTATCGTAAAGGTGGAGATACGTTATTGAGCCAAATGAAGGCGATAGTATACATGTTCAACTTCTGTATGGCTTTTGTTCTCTATTATCGAAAAGGTTACGTTCCTGGGTCAGAAGACACCGATTGTAAGCAGAAACAGATCGTAAAGAAACGTAAGAAAATTAATGTATGTCGATCTCAAAGAGGAACTCTCTCTCGTTCGAGTACCATGATCTTCCAAATTGATCCTCCAACGGCGTAACGTAACCCAAGACAGAGACTCTCGAACTATCAATATTTAGAGCTTCTTCTCCGACGGAAATTACGGAAATCTCCGTGGTTCCAACAGGCTCGTTAACAGCTCGTGTATCAGGCCCGACGAAGACGAAGAGCCAGGTATTATTACGTATCGTCCAGCCGCGGCAGAAAATCCGCGGCAGCGCCTCTCGGTCTTCGTCGATCCCATAACCCGACGCGATGGGCTCGCGAAAAATCGCGGCTACGAGGCGTCTACGCCAACACAAACCCGCGCACCCAGTTTACGTACGTTTCACGCGTGCGTGAGATATATCCGGCGGTTGCGGTGGTGATTTATCCACGCCTTTAGTGATAAAGCATTGTGCAACGGATAGTGTTCCGGCCGAGTAAAATGGCGGATCAGATAAAGAAGAGCGCTTCCCGCTTCCAAGGGAGAAAGCTATAAATCAGGTGGCTGTCCGTGGTCGAGTACGAGGTGGCCGAATGAACGCGAACGCCCGTTTATTAATTAACCGGCGTAGATAGAGTCGCCTAACGGTTCGAGGGTATCGGTATCTCGGTTCCGCGGTATCCTCTATCTTAGGCATTGTCCGGTTGATGAGCTCTCTGCTCCGATTTTTCAAGCGCTGGACAAATGTCCAGAAGCCTCGCGCTTTATTCACGACGATACCACGGCGTTCCTTATCGCCTACTGCGTGCTAGATTTAGGATGAAACATCATACGCGATACCGTTAAAATGCCTGTTCGATCCACGCGAACGCGTGCAACGGTTCAAGGATCATTCCCCGACGAAGACGTACCCGCGCCTCGAACGCGTTTACAGTTGCTCGATCCTGCTTCTTTTAGTCTCGCGAGGATGTCTGCCGAACCGTTCCGTTCCGAGTATTTGGCTGACGGGATTAGTTATGCCGGCGATAAAATGAGAAAGACTCGGTATCCGTGGATACTCGTGTACGAGTTCGTCGCAAAACTGGTGTTAGTCCATTTATCTTTGCTCGAGGAACGTAAACAGTTTTGCATTTCAATCGCTTGGATTATCTTGATAAATGCGAGTTAGCTCGCTGTGGGCTTACAGTGGTTATTGACGAGCACATTCATCAAGCGTATTGGGGCCCGATGGATGCGAGACATGTTCGCAACGATCGAAATTTAAATGTGTGCGTTTGTTGTTACGATTCTTCCGAGTAGGTATGCATGGCACGTCTTTCGAATGGGTGTCTAAAAGTATGAAATTTTATATTTTCATCGATATAGAATTATTCTGACGGTCATCGTTAATAAGTAAATTCATCAAGCGTATTGGAGGATAATGAATATACAGACGGTCCCATAAATATTCGTACCCTCTATGTGTATCTAATCTGTGTTCTCAAATAAATATTTATTATAAACATATATCCAATGGAGATTTTCTGAACAAGTGTGAATGTCTTCGTATTTATCGAGCTTCGGAGCATCAAACAGCGGCGTATCGTTGTCTGACTACGAACGGGCTAATCCCCTTATAAAATTGTATTACGCAAACGACGTCTGGGAGGCTCGCGAAACGGAGACGGGTCGAAGCACCGAGGCGATACCTTACCTTCGTAAGACTCCTCCAAGGAGACTCGCGTTCAAGCATTCCGGTGGCGATAGTCGTCTTTGTACCTCGGCTACCGTAACTTTGTACTTGCTGGTGCTGCTTAGTAACGATAATCGTCCAGGAACCGAACAGAACACGTCCGAAGGTTGCGCGTTCCCGCTCAGCATCGCCTTCTCGCTCCTGTCTGACGGTTTCATGTCTGCAACAGTAAGGTACAACGAGTTTGTAGCGGGGGGAATTGGTGATTCGATCGATTAAAGATCAATTAACGCGTGCGCCAAGTGTCGAGAAAGTAGAAATTGAACGTTTCGATCCGTGGCAGGATTGGAGCACGTGGAAGTTCAATTAGCGCTGATAGATCGCACTTCGCGTATGGAGATGTTGAAGAATTGCGAATGTTAAAGTAGCGTGTTGAACATCGATGGTTACAAATTGTAGAATGATAATAAATCATAGGGAAACGGTGTTTTTAGTGGTGGTCATCAACGATGACAACGTTCGCTACAGCTTTGAGTAAATCGATGTTGTAAATTCACGAGAAAAATGTAACGTTTTAAAAATAGAGGGCAATTTGCATTTAATGGTTTACATACTGCCTTGAAGTATTTATGCAGATCTTCGAGGTTTACGATACGAGGATTTCTTTATTTTTTTTTTTTTTTTTTTTCTGTGATGTATGAAACGTTTACAGCTCGGTAACTGAGATTCGTTAGCTATGATTTAAAGCCATAGAATTGTTTCGTAAAGGATGAGCACAAATTTAATGCAGACTAATAAAAAAAAAGGGTTTCTCGAAAGAAGCACGCTTCCCAAGAATAACAATTAAACAATGTTTAACCTCGTCCAGAAAAATCTACGAACGTTTGATTATAGTTTCCTGAAAATGTTTTACAATTAATTGCACCTCGTTGATAAAAGGAATGCAATAATCCTCTTAAGATTACTGCACGATGTTCCGATAAAAGGTCAAAGAGGTTTCAGCGACTGGCCAGGAAGGAATACCAAAACCGTTCTTCTGAAATTACGTTATCCCATCCGCCGTGTATAGGTGCATAACCGTGATCAGAGGCAATATCTTGGCGAAATATTTTAAATTCACCGTACCCGTCCTGTTTTCATTCCTATGCACCGATAGTCCAGCATTATTGCATCGTTGCCCTGGAATGCTTAATATAGGGCCGCAGGGAACGGACAAAGCCGTGTTATTACAAGGCAAATCGATGGTCAACTTATAACTTGAAACTCTTCATCGTTGGTCGGTTCGATCATGAGGTACACTTATGGTTTATGGTTCTTTAGAGGCAAGGCGAGTTTCGAACCGATACGCTTGAAATTCTTTGACGAAATCGTAGTGCCACGTACCTGCAGTGTCTATCGTTCTAAATTTATTCTTTAGATTAGAAATGTTGAAACGTGCTTCCTCGAATCGTGTTACTACGTACCTGCAGTGCCCGTCATTCTAAATTTATTCTTTGGATTAGGAATTTTAAAACATGCTTCCTCGAATGACTCCAGAGCATAGAATGATTGTACTTCCATTTTTTTCAAAAACTCTGATCGACCACCATTGCTCGAAAATGTTAAACGGATATAATAATAACTTGCTCGCAAGCACCACCCAACGTTATCGATTCTCTTTCATGATACATGGAAGTGACAACGGTTATTCCTTGAAAAACTGGTCATGCCTCTTCCGCCCAACACGTTCATAACTCGCTCGAGAAGAAAATCCCGCGAGGAATGTCCACGATTTTCGTTTGTCGCCATCGAGACAACGTTGTGAAATGTCTCGTCTCATATGTATATTATGCATACGAGGTCGTAACCCCTTTGCGCGAAAATTGATCGCGATTACGCGTAGACGCCGCGCGCCGTGCAGCGGACGACTTTGTTTAACGTTTGTATTCATGAAAATCCGAGACGGAGAAATAGAGAGAGCGACGGGAGAGGTGCGGAGGAAGGGAGAGCAAACAAGTTGTCAACTAGAATCAATCCATTTCGAAGTCTCGATCGGTCGGGTCAAACGGGTAATAAATTTCAAAGCGAACCAAATAGGTCGACGTGGGTTTGTTCCGCGCTTATAAATTGTAATCTCGAGAATGAAGCGGTAGAAAATCGTGTAACGGTCAACAGGCCCGACGATAGCGTTTACAATTTGGTAGCGGAGAAACACTTGTGTTTCGTTCGAAGAATTACATGGATTTATTGACAGCTCTCGCGATGGTACACGGTAAATATATGCAAAGCTACGTGCTTTACATTGTATCGAAGTTCTTTGCCAAGGATAATTTGTTTATTCGCTCACGTTTTGTTTATTCGTATTCAATGTAGTTCCACTTATTGAGTCTTGTTCTATTGAATTTCAATTTATGACCTCTGATTGATTTATTAAAATTAAGTGGAGTTAATTATTGTGTCTTAGAAACTCATAATGGTAGCATATATTTTTGGACTGATATTACGATATTATATATATATATATAATATATCCATATTAATGTCGGAAAGTGTAATTGAAACGAAAACACGAAACGTTGCAAGGTATCTCGGTTCATTATCTTCATCACGGGTAATGATCCTGAAAAGGTGTATTAACTTATTTAATGAGAATAACTCATGCTATGCTTACGTTAATCGCGGCGTGTGCGAAACGTGTAATTACACGGGGTCGTTTTAACCTTTCGCCGCGTGAATTGTGAAACCGTCTCACTCATCGATGGATCCACTATCGGTCAATCGATCGTGAGTTAATTACGAAAACATGTCACCGTTAATTCAACGAGACTGCGAACAGGTATAAACGGTCTCGTAACATTTTCACCGTCGCTCGTTTTCAGGAAAACCTTCGTATTACGGTAATCGATCGCTTGTATAATCGCCAAGGCAAACATTTCATTTATTATTAGGATAAATATCGAACGATTCATTAAGAAAGATAATTATTCTCTAATTGACGTCGTTCGATATTATTGTCTTCCATTGAATTTCTTATTGTATTTTTCTTTTTCTTTTCACTCTGTCTCTTGTGGTAGATATCATCTAAGGTAATATATTATAGTGCACTTTATCTTGTTAATATAATACTGCCATGAAAAATATCAGCATCGAACTCGGCCTGAAACTCGATCCAGCGCGAAAACTAATTATTTCGTCTGGACAGTCAACGCGGGCATTAATAATTTCGCACGCAAGAATGACACGAGCAATTTATCCACGTTCGCCGAGTGCGAGGGAATTAAATTGAACCTTGACCTTCGCCTTGGTATCGATTAGATCTTTCAATCGCGATGGTATGCGGCGAGAAGCGAGACATACCGGCGAACGAAGTTGAAGAATTGGGAGGAAACCGAGCCATTACACGATATTCGTAGCGATTAAAATCCACCGGTCGTAAATTCCTGGTACGAGCTCGAAATTTGTCGGCTAATGAGATTTTCAGTCATCTTTCACCTCGCGAACGGGCATGGGAGCCGAGCCGTGCATGTATTCGCGGCAGCATCCTCGCCTCGGGTATCCCGGCGCTGCCGCCGTCTTGTTTTGGTCGAGATAACGTCTAGGAAGTCGCCACTAGACAATTTGTCACCGGTGAAACGTGGATATATCGCCGTGAGCCGTTGAAACAAAAGCGGCAAGAGGCACCGGTCACGACTGCTAGAACCGTGAAAACGTGGCTTACACTCGACGTGCCTGTGTTAATTACCGCGCGTCCGACGCGCCGATAATTAGATTCAGAGAATTTGTAGCAATAGCGATTTCAATTACTCGGGAGGATAATCATCATCCTCGGCCCGCGGGGACTCGCGATGCCTCGGCTGAATAATCGCACCAGTTACTGGATTTCTTTCCGGCCGTTCTAACGACCTTACGATCTTTGGAATAAACGAACCAGTTTACAGCGTACAGTTACTCGTAGTTATCCGCCTACTTCGTGTTGCGTATTTTTTATTTGTGTTTCAAGGCGATTTCGAAGTTGCTATCGATGGGGGTTGTTCGCTTGAATCTTACAAAATTTTGATATCATTCTTTATAAAACTGGAGTTGTCAATTTAAACCGAAATAGGCTCACGCGATTCATATTCAATGAAAGAACGATCAAGCGAAGTTTGATTAATATCCTCCATTAAATAAATCCACGGAACAACTACCATAAACGCGGTTGCGCGGCTGACACGACGACGAGTTTTTCACCTAATACTTCACCGCGAGTATCGAACCGCGGTGCCATCGATCGGCGATCGTTTGCCAAAGACACCGACACCGGTCTTGCGGGCCGCATTACCGCGAAGCGTGGGCAGTCAATTAAATTCCCGAACAGCGATAAATCGGCGCTGCCGTTTGAATGCGGCCCGGGATGAAACTTTTCTTTATTGACGTGAATGGATCTCGAGAAACGAAACGACCGGCCGACACGCGGACAAGTAGAAAGTAAAGACGTGGGCGAGTTTGCCTTCCGCGGTGGAACGATGTTATAATGTTGAGAAAGCCGCGAATGAAGTAACGTTATCGAGTGGACAGTTTGATAGCAACACGCTGCGCGATACGATCGAAAGTCACGATCGAAAGTCGCGATCGATTTATATCAATAATTGAAAAATAATATAACGATCCTAGCGTCTTAAAACATGCCAGATTTTCGTTATTCGACGAGACATTCGTCGTTCAGATTCCTGTCGATAATTCCCACAACGCAACGATTCCAGAATCGCTCAACATCCGATAGATGCTCAGGAAAAACAAAACCTTCCCGCACTAGCCACCAATTATCGTTGTAACAGCTAATGACCGGATGCGGCAGCCGTACTTTTTCCGATTACGAAATCATCCACGAAGAAAAAAGGAGTACATCTGTGAATCCGGTTACTTTCACATCTAAGCCTACGCCGTTCCCAATAACTCTTTTCTTATCCGGCCGGCATCAGTCTAGCTCGGAACGACACGGTGTTCCGATCAGCGTCGCATCGTACCGTGAAGCGAACCAGCGTGTTAAATAGCGAAGGGAGGGCGTGAATTACAAGGGGGGAGGGAGGGAGGACAGTCAGGAAATTTTCACGGAGTCAAGGTGATCCAGGTGTTTCGTCCGGGACGTTATTATCGCGACGCGAAACGATAAATCAAATTATACTAAATATTTTGCGCGGCTACTAGCCGGACAGAGGCTTTTTTCCGTCATTTAATGTTGCGCGATTATTCCTGAGAGTA